CCCCCCCCAGTGAATTGTGTGTAAAGGCAGAGCTGGTGTTTAGTGATCGTGTAACACAAAATCACAGGGAGGGGGGCAGCTGTGTACAGCTTGCTTTATAATCCCGCCACGGTGTCAGACTGAGTTTCCTGGAGAAAATGTTTAGGATTCAGGCCCAATAAAAAGTTATTTTAAAAAATGAAGAAAGCCTGCAATGTGAGTCATGTGCACACGTATATAGCATCACTGCACCTCTACATTACCACAAATAGTGCTAATCTATTATGAAATTTACTTTTTAAAAAGGACTCCAAGTCAAAAAAAAAAGAAAAGAAAAAGTCCCACTGCCTCTTCCTCTGATTTACAACCACTGCGATTTCTTCATATACTTCACATCTCCCCTGCAGTCTCCCACTAGGTCTTTGGGTGCACAGTATGATTTGATGTACACTTTTTCTGCATATGTCTTCCTAATGAAGCGGATCATCAGATCTGAGAAATATGTTTAGCCGCTCCTGTCCGGTGGACGAATCAGCTTCTTGGTAATAGAAGATAAATCATTTGCTACTTTTGCCAACAGTAAATGCTACATGTGATTATGATATCTGAGGGTCAATCAAAAAGTAATGGCTCCATGTATGTAACTTGAGATCTATCAGAGTGACTGTTCATGTACCGGCCACAATTCGCACGTTCAGACCCAGATTTTCGGCTGACAGTCCAGTCTTTAACCAGTTGACATCCGCGGTGTTAAACCCCCTTCCCATCCAGGCCATTTTTCAGTATTCAGCGCTGCGGTACTTTGACTGACATTTATTCCGTCATGCAGCACTGTACTGAAATGAATTTTATACCCTTTTTTGGGGACACATAGAGCTTTCTTTTGGTGGTATTTATTCACCACTGGGGGTTTTTATTTTTTTATATATTAAGGTAAAATTACAGATTTTTTTTTAAAAAAAAAAACTGTTTCCCCTATATTAAATTCTAAAACATTTATAATTTCCCAATTTTTTTGGTAAAAAATAAAAGAAAATGGGATTATGTTGATAGAAAAGTATGGAATGTATTGCCACCTTTAAAGTCCTTCTGATCACTTTCTGAAAATGACAGTTGCCTAGCTATCAAGCAAGCTCATCCAGCGGTTTCAGTGCTTTCTGAGCCATTGACCCGGAACACACACATAAGCAGAAATGCAATTCTGACTTCTCTATCTTTTTAACCCGCACGCTTGTTCTGGGTCTGTGACTTTGAAATTACTGAAAGACAAAGACAGCCAATTAGAAATCTTAGGGGATATAGCAATGACGGATTCCTATATGTGTCTCAGTACAGGTTTCCCCAAAAACGTTTTGGAACCATGGTGCGGAGATTGATCTTCTCCCCAACCCCAGATCTTGTCTGCACCCCTTCTGACAAAAGATGTTTGTTTTTCTCTTCTTCATGTACAGTAGTATGGAGAACCCAATGGGTGCATCTGACAAACCTCTAAAAATGGATTTGCTGTCTGAGGCTACAAAATATACTGGGAGGAATTTGCTAAAACTGGAGCAAACAGTATCTGGAGCAATTGTGCAAAGTAAGCAATCATATTTGCATTCAAGCCTGGAAAGCATTGCAATTGTGATCACTCGATCAGGGCTACAAAGCTCAGACTTCTGCACATTCTCTCCCAGGCAGAGCTCGTACTGAGGTACGGAGTTTGTTAGGAGAGATGGGGAAGGACGGCTGGACTTCAAACTGCATTAAATCACCTCATACAGCGTCCAGCCATCCTCGTTCTTGGTAGAGCTGCCCATATCCTGCTGCATCTGCCTAGAGGGAGGACGGCTGGATGCCGTATGAGGTGATTTAGTCCAGTTTGAAGTCCAGCCGTCCTTCCCCCATCTCTACTAACTGAAACTCCGTCCCTCAGTACGAGCTCTGCCTGGGAGAGAATGTGCAGCCTTGATCGAGTGATCACAATACTTTCCAGGCTTGAATGCAAATATTAAAGAAATGCATATTTTTTTATATATATTATTAATTATGCATTTCTTTAATTCTTGCAAAAGGTGAACTTATCCTGTAAGCTTTGAAAATGAAAGATAGATGCTGATTGATTGTCATGCACAGCGGCTCCAGTCTTATTAAATCCCACTCATTGTACCTTCCCTGTGATGAGAAGCAGTTCTGTAAATGTTGTGAACTCATTACCGGCATTGAATGGAAGGAACACCTTGTTATTGCTTTCCAGTCACCAGCACGCTAATCTCATTGGTCCCAAACAAAACTATCAATGATGCACCATTATAATAGTCTACATTGCATCATTTTTACCAGGGGGACTAAAACAATGATTCACAATGCAAGCTCCTGTTAAATGTGACATGTGCATCAGAAATAGGGAAATCCTTATTTTCAACATTACACAAAATTGTGCAATTTGTGCGACATATAATAAAAAGTTGCATATACTTTGGCTGCATATAATAGGTGCATTCATGCACCAAGCAGCAGGTGGTGCAGGCCTCTTTATAAATTAATATCACTGCCATACAATAGATCATTTGTCACAATTGGCGGATTTTTACTGACAATTTTGCACATCATTTGCCTGTTGCCATTTCGGCAATAATTTATTGGGTCCAATGCACTCATGATTCTACAATGTGTTTCTTTGGATTCCTGTCATCATGATTCCAGTTTTCTTCTTTGGATTCTGCCCTTCACTCACATATGATAAACCTTTCCGTGAAGCCTCTGTGGATGCCCCTTACCTCTTTATTTCTAGAAACTGGCAACATTCCTTTTACTTCCATTTTACCCACATTCTAAGGAGACATGGCTCCAAACAGCATCTCACTATTATTCTGGAAGTTCTTGGGCTGAAGTTTCCGGTCCTGGACATCAACATTGCCTCCGTTATGTTTACAGACAGGTTTTTTTTATTATTGATCACCAGACAGAATTTGTAATTTTAGATCATGAACATTTCAGTCTCATAAATAAATTTGTACATACTTTTCATAATGCCAAATACATATCATTTGTCCGTTTTTACATTTGGTAAAAGAAGAAGCTTTAGTAATTGGGGAAGGTGCACCTCATGTAATAAAGGCTTGGATGGTCTAGTGCAGGGGTAGGCAACCTTGGCTCTCCATCTGTGCTGAAACTACAAATCCCATCATGCTTCTGCCCCTGGTAGTCATGCCTGTGGCTTGCAATGCCTTATGGGATGTGTAGTTTCAGCACAGCTGGAGAGCCAAGGTTGCCTTACCCCTGGTCTAGTGACTGCGTCAAACGCTACTGTATTAAAATGCATAAAAATAAAAAATACATTCTCAATGTTTCTTTGATAAACAGGTACTTTCCTATTCTAGGTAAGAAGGCAATCTCACAAAAAGCATATACCACAATAATACATTCTCTGCCTGCAAGGCAGCTTTGTGAAATTAAATTAAGCATCAAATATTTTTTTTAAAACGCCAAAGTACAATATCCTTTCAAAACAGCGAGGCTGTTATAATGAAGGGTTTTCCATTCTAAATGAAAAGTGAAACACTTCTTCCAACCCCTCTATAGCAGTAAGACGGGCCATTCTCTCATCTCCCGTTTTACTTGGCCTGGGCTCTATCATTTCAAATGTACTCAACAGCACCACCTGCAGGAACAATCTGATATTGCAGTCACTTCCAATCACTCCAACAACTGACATTTTCAAGTAGAGTTAAAGAAGAACACAACGAAAATCCAAAAGTTACCCATGCAGTGGGGCTACCCCCACATTCAAGTGTTAAGGGATCCTTTTGTCTAGGGGACTTAAAGCAGATTTCTTACCGGAATCTAGGTCCCACCGGCTGTCTTCCGGCTGCTAGACCGGTCCCTGCAACCGCTTCTCCCCCAGGCTCCATTGGTCTAAGGACCGCTGACGTCACATCTTATGCATTGACCTGCATTAGACATGAGGACACCAAGAAAGATTCCATAGCTGGAGCACGAGGGAGAGAGGTAAGCGGCAGCTGCTTTATTTGCAGTAAGGGATGGACACCGGCACTCCAAAGCAAGTTCAGTAGGTGTTTATTAACGTACTAGTTGCAAGTAGAAGACTCTATACAATGTTTCGGGGTCTCACAGGATCCCCTTCATCAGACATCACTTGTTTGCCTGATGGAGGGGATCCTGTGAGACCCTGAAATGTTGTATAGTGTTCTACTTGCAACTAGTACGTTAATAAACACGTACTGAACTTGCTTTGGAGTGCCGGTGTCCATCCCTTACTGATATTTTGTCGGAAGCCACTCGCTGACACCTACTGCACCCACCCTCCATTTTTGGAGCAGCGGCTCTGAGTGCGATGGATACACGGACTGTAAGCTGTTTTATTTGCATCCCCTATACAAAACCAGCACTTAACCCTTTCAGTGGGAGTGTAGCCCCACTACTGAATTTCCCAGAGTTTTTCTTTAAAAGGCACAGTGTTTTAAATAGAAGATGACACTGTATAATCCACAAGAAAAGGGTCCCGATACTGCACACAAGGGGAGTGCTATCTACTCTAAGTACTGCCCTAAAGCATGGAGTCTACTCTACATTTAGACTGAAAAACCCTTTAAAAAAAAACAAAAAAAAACACACAACAAAAAAAGGTTTAAAATCTAAACTGTTTGCAGAACTAGCAGTAAACAATTGTTCTGCCAACACTCAGAAACTAAACCAAAATGGAGGGATTGGTGTACAAAAATAATATTGTGCTCTATGTGATCTTACAATTCATCTTCAGGTTTTCATTCAAACGACAAGAAATCTTTAAAAATAAAACTTAGCCTGATGCTGATGGAATGATGGCAGATGACTTGAAGGAAGCCTTTATTTCACCAACGTATAAACAGTGCTCGTGAATATGCGGCTGGGCACCTCAAAAGCAAAAGAACCTCAGGACATGGCAGCAGCATTGTGAATGTTATATGTCAGTGGAGATGATGTGTCTGGGATGTTTAATTCTGCACTTCGGCCATCTGCTCCTTCTCCGCCTTCTCTTTGGCTTTCTCCTTCTCCATCAGCTTCTCCTCCTTCTGCAGGAGCTCCATGATCTCAGCTACCTGGCTGGTGGAAATGTTGATATCTTCCTTGTCAATCAGTTCCACAACCTGAGAGGCAAGAAGAACGTCATCAAATGCTAAGATTCCAGGCAGATATACACAAGACAAGGCAATGCAGCTTTGTAATCGTCACAACATCATTAAAAGTATTATTTCTTTTTTTGTAATGCAAGCAGTGTAAGTACCGGATTTTGACCTGGTATGAAAACAGACCTGCCATCTCATCTAACCCTAATAAAGCTCCGTCTTCCAAACGTGTAACCAAATTACATGTGTGCAATGGCCAGTGACCCGAGTGCTACTTTCAATTATCCCTGGGCCTTTTGAAGCCATGATTTCTTCCGTTTGCAGGAAGGATACTGACCCCTACATTTAGAACCACTACTATTCCCCACATTAGGGAATGGACCAAGGAACTTAACCTCATCATGAGGATGGAGGAACCAAAGCTCATTTACACAAGCGCTTCCTGGCCTTTGTTTCACTATGGGAGCACCTGGATCAAATTCTCCAATTCCTCTAGCATCCAACCATTACTATAACAGCATTAGAATACCATCTTATTATTACAAATGCTTATGGACAACCCCAGCTGGTCCCCCACCTTCTCCTTCACCTCATTGCCAAAGAGCAGAAATCTCCCACCTTCATTAAGCACCCTAATACTCAGTTTAGAGGTACACAGTCCTCTCTCCCCAACAATGGATATTACCATGCAGATTATCCCACTGTTAATTGTAAACTTGAGGACTATTTTGTACCTATACCCTGCTGTGTCTCTGGGACAGGAAGTGAAAGGAAGTCTCCCCAACAAGGACAGAGGAAAAGGAAAATACTGACAGGGTTCTAGCCATTCACATTTCGTTGACATTCCTCCAGTAAAGCTACAGAAAGGAGGTGAAAGTCTTGTCTGTGTATTCTCTGAGAGAGAAGGCAGGTAATGTAGGTCTGAGCCAGTACCACGCCAAAAGGTGTTTGCCCCTGTGGATGATGACTATGTGCATATCACAAACTTTAGATAAATCCTCTCCAAGTCCATTTTCATTGTATAAACTACACAAGATCACCGATACTTTAAGGCTTTTCCTCCGCGTACCTTTGCCACATCATCCAGGTCGATCTTTCCATCCTTGTTTTCATCCAGGGCTGCGGCAATTCTCAGCAGCTTCTGTTCAGGGATCTTCTGAATGTGCCTCATGAGGTTAACCAGTTCAGTAATGCTGACTAGATTTTCCCTAAAGGCGAAATATAATCTGTATACAGCAAACAGTTATCATTAACATGAGGAGAAAGAGCAAGCGGTAAGGGGTGAGGAGGGGTGGGTACAGGCAATTACGCCAGGGATCTCTCATGATTGCTGGTCATATTAGACCTGAAAATGATTAGAAAGACACAACCAAACACGTACACAAAGCAAAAGGGCTGACAGCATGCCAGACATCGGATATGATGAGCTAAAGATAAATAATTAGTTATACACCTAGAACAGGGCAGGGCAAACCTCAGGAGCCAGTGTATGAAAAAGATCTGGTAGATATGCAGGGCCATTTTAAAGTGATCTTTTACTTTATTCATGCAGGTTAAAGTAACAGGTTCACCTAACTTCCTGCTCCCATGCAGCATATAGCCACCTTTACTGCTCCCCACTTATCCGTTCCGCTGCAGGGAACAAGATTTCCATTTTCCCAAATTCCCCTGAGAATGTGGAATTGCATTTTAATCCTCCCCTGCTCTTATCTAAAGCTGAAAAATGGTGGCTTTACCTGCACTTTAAGGCTTCATTTGCACGGGCGATTTGGGATTCCTAGTGTCCCAGTAAGATGCAGTCACTGTATCCATTCAAGTGACGGGGTGACAGCGGCAGGATCTATCAGCAGCAGTACCATGCACAATTACATGCGGTTTCGAATGGATGATTGTCACTGGACGCAACTATCCTGTGTCCAGCGACAATCATCTATCCCAAACCGCAAGTAATCATATCATGTACAATTACACATGGACTGCCGCTGACAGGTGCAGCCGCTATCACCCTGTCATTAACTTCAAAATGGGTACAGCAGACGCATCTGAATGGGAACACCTGGGATTCATGCCACAGGAATCCCAGAACACACCGTGAGAATGTAGACTAGGAAGCCAAAGAGGACAACACTAAAGGATTAGAACTGAATTGTTCTAAAAATCAGGTAGTAGATATCGGAATTTCACCCGACCCTGTCTTTAAGGGCATCTTAAAAGACAACTGCATGCAACACATGCATGAGGGTAAAGTAGGGTTTAGAGCTACTTAAAAGTTATAGCTGAAGGACCTCCAGCTCACATGGGCTGGGATCAAAAAGATCCCAGAGATTAAGTTCAAAATACTGAAGGGCTTGTTCCATCTACATGCACTGTAACATTTTGATGCATTTTACAATACTAACAAAATGCTGGGACAAACAAAACTGCGCGGTTCCAATCAGAACGAGTCTCATAAGACAGAGGTGCAAGCCCATGGGTGGAAGTCATTTAAGCTAGGACTTTTAAACAAGGCTTAGACTTCATGGAAATCGCTGACAATGCGATTACACTAACCTCACCATATGCCGAGATCCCTGCTTGATGGAATTGCCCTTATTTTTTATATGTAAAGAGATGCACACCAAATAAAAGACATGGCAATCTACTCTTAATTTAGGGAGTGCTGGTAAATGTAAACACCTACGTAGAGGAGTAAGAAAGAGAGCATGCTTAAACAGCTTCTATTTGAGGATATTCCATATTTTTCTACATCAAACCCATACACAGTCCAGTGATCTGCTCCTTGGACTGTGAGGAGCATATTATAGCAGTCCTTCACAATGCTGGACATAGGATAGGAGGTATTAAGTAGGAAGAGCACAATCCTAGAAGATAGGGTATTCAAAATATGAGAAGGAAAAAAAAGTTCCAGAAATGCTGCATTCCAAGTATGAGGTGCATTGTATAGCAGTCGCAGACAATGCTGCATTCCGAGTATGAAGAGTACCATATAGCAGTCCCAGACAATGCTGTATTCCTATTACCGTATAGCAGTCGCAGACAATGCTGTATTCCTATTACCGTATAGCAGTCGCAGACAATGCTGTATTCCTATTACTGTATAGCAGTCGCAGGCAATGCTGTATTCCTATTACTGTATAGCAGTGCCAGACAAGCCAAGTATTACCGTGTTTCAGGTTACTCAGTACCATATGACAACTATTTCACTTAGAGCACAGAAAAGCCCTCATCTACTCAAGTGATTACATTTCCATGCACTCATAATAATAGGGAAGGGGTGATTGTGTATAGTTGTTTGTTTTAAACAATATAAAAATCATATATTATACGTACATATGATTATACAAAGTCGTAATACGAACCTAAAGTGCAAACAAAGTACCCATGCCAGAACTGTCTGCATATGGTAGGCACCCCCCAATAAGCCTTTGTCAGGTCGTGTTTCCAGTTCAGCTCACCCTGTGGCCAGAATTCCAGTGTGCTCTCAATGCAGATTCCTGGGTTCCGTCCTCTCCAAACCCTCCCTACTGAACAATATCAGGAGGCAGGGAGAGGTTTAAAAGTAAAACAAACTGCACTTATCCTTTTTTGCCCCCCCACCCCTGACCTAAACAATCTCACCCCCACACGTAGATTTGTATGGCATGGTTCCACTTTGTTTACATCCAGCACCACAATGCTCCTTCTGCTGGCTCCATGTGCACATTACAGCCCCACAGACTTCTATGGGGTGGTGTCCCGGCCAGGAGAGAGAGAAATGCAGCACTAGATGTCAACAAACTTTGGAGCAGCGGCCCTCGGATCTCAGTAAATATAGATCTGTGGAAGGAGAGGGCGGGATTGTTTAGGTCAGGGGAGAGAGCAAAAAGAATAGGTGCACTTTGTTTTTCAATAGGAAAACAAACCGGACGTAGAAGTACTGAGGTGTGTGCTGACAGTGGGAGAATGAGGTATCTTTTGGCACTTTTGGTTTGCTTTAGAAGTACTAATGATTAAATTTCTTTATAATTGTTACAAACACTAATAAACCCCAACCTGAAGTTACTAAGACAAGAGCAAATGTTTACTCTAAACAAGTGGTTCTCAACCCGTGTAACCTCAGAACCTACATTTGTCCATGGTCAGTAAGTCGCACTCCAATGGAATGCACAGTATTGCGGTCCCGCGTGTTCTGGTGCGGGCGATCGAACTGTGGGTGAGAGGTGCGTTTGGGATGCCATTCAAAAGATCCACCCGGTCTCCATACCTTACAAGAGCAGGAGTTGATCCTCAGCCTGGGGTCCAGTGTGGGCTGCTATGCTATGATTGAACACCATCCATATGTGCAATGTTTGAACAGCTCCCTTGCGTGCCCTGTAACAGGTGCAGGGAGCCAGAATGTGACATTACTACTGTCCAGGCGCCTCTACAGGACACGCAAGGGAGTTGTACGTATGGATAGAGCTCCCTCAGCCATAGCCCCAGCCCATACCACCTCAAGCAGACACTCTGCACCGGGCATCATATTGTGAATGGCTGCTTGGCGAGAGAACTGTCAGGAGGAGATTCTCACCTAGCACAATGGAAGGCACACAGCGACCCACTGAACACAGGGTCGCGGCCCACTTTTGGGTCACGACCCACCAGTTGAGAACCAAGGCTCTTAAACATGTCTGTGTAGGGGCCCACTGTTGTTAGAGTCTATGCACCCATGCTAATTTCCCCAGGGCCACAGCTCTGAAGATCTTTGGCTGCTCGTTTTTGACTTGGAAAGTATTAGACACAATACAACAAAACCTAGAATCTTTGGTTCTAATCTATTAAGCTGGGGCAAAGCTATAAGTAAAAGATGGCCCATAGAAACCAGAACATGTTATCCTGACAGAACCATTTTCCTATAACAGATTTAGGAGTATCTGTTATCAGCATGGAGTAGATTAGGAACCCTTTAAAATTTAACACTTCCGTCCCGTCAGGGAAAGAATGCAAATATATCGAAATCCAGTGATGATGCAGCTGTGCATTGGTGACTGGTTCTCTAAGATTTTTCTTCCAGCATGAATCAAAAACATGTAACATGTGAAAGAGTAACTAGTGCGTCTACCATTAAAAGCTACATGACAGTAAGTGACCATGCAACATGGAAGACATGACAGGTGAAAGCCACTACTCAGGTGATCGCTGTCCTAGTCCCCTGTCCCAACACTGGCTCACGTGTGACACACAAAGCAAATATCTGTTTGCCACTAATAACAACACGTGTATATTTTACATGGCGATCACCAATCCCCTTATACTTACCCCACAGGTGGGGCAGAGCCACTTGGTGCATGCTCATCCAGTACCCGGTCCTCATTCTCCATTTCAGTCATGATCTTATCCATTTGAATAATCATACGATTGACCCTCTTGGTTAATCTCTTACTGGCCTTCGATTCTTCAACCACCTTCTCTTGTCCGGTCTTGGAGAGCTCCTTCTTCATTTCTTCCAGATCCTTTAAAAATAAGGCAAGATGAAGACAACACTTAATCATGCTGGAAGACATCAACAGAGTCCTCCAGAATAATAACATGGAGTCTGTTCAGTTACTGGCCCCACTACATGTACCTGAACACCAACATGAAATCTGCTAGTTCCCCATGTTAGTCCTGTCCAACATGGAGTTCAATCACCATCTGGTCTCACACCACTGCACCCCTGAACACCAACATGGGAGTCTATTCAGATACTGGTCATACCACACTGTACCCCTGAACACTAACATGGAGTGTGTTTAGTTAAAGGACCTACCACACTGCACCCCTGAACACCAACATGGGAGTCAATTCAGTTACAAGCCCTACCACACTGCACCGCTAAACACTAACATGGAGTCTATTCAGTTACTGATCCTACCACACTGCACCCCTGAAAACCAACATGGGAGTCTATTCAGTTACTGGTCTCATCACACTGTACCCCTAAACAGTAACATGGAGTCTATTCAGTTACTGATCCTACCACACTGCACCCCTAAACACTAACATGGAGTGTGTTCAGTTAATGGACCTACCACACTGCACCGCTGAACACCAACATGGATTCTATACAATGATACTGGCCCCAAATCAATAACAACCCTGAGCCTGTTGTAGGACTGCCTGTACCTCACTGTACTCCTGGACATCATCCTTCAGCTCCAGAAGCTCTTCCTTCTCCTTTGTTAGTAACTTCTTCTGCTCCTTCAGCTTAGTGCAAGCATCGCTCAGAATGTCAATTTCCTCCTTAGTTAGCTCTTCACCCTGAAAAAGACAGATGCTATTATAATTATAAAAAAAGACCAAGTGAGACATGTATTTATCAGTGCTCGCTCTTCTTGCCCATAGCAGCCAGATTTCCCCATCCTGCACTGGAAGAACAGAAGAGAATATCTGATCTGGTTGGAAAGGACAAGATGCATGACTTTTACCATACATTGTAATAGAGCTGCAGCTAACGATTATTTTCAAAATCGATTAGTTAGCCGATTATTAAGTTTGATTAATCACGTATCATCAGCAACAGAGGAATACTAATCCCACTATCCCAGCAATACATTATAGAGAACCATGTGGGGGGGAAAGTGCAGGCATACCTGGGCAGTCTTCCAGCAACTTGTTTCTGAGATCGGGCCATATGTCGATTAGTTGTTGCAGCCCAACATTGTAATATAGGAACGCGTGTCCCAGGACTGAACACATCAACTGCTTTCACAAGGGGAACAATCATCAACTAAAAAAGTTTTTTACATCATAGTGTACGGATGAACAGTATGTGTGTGTGCGCATATCTAGTTATGTGCAGCAGCATTTAAAATAAACAATCTCAAAATAGTTCACGCATGACTTCATTATGGCGCATATCTTCACACAAGCATTTGAAGCAGACCTACCCAGCCTATATAGGGCAATGTCACCTGAAGCTGTCCTTTAACCCCTTCGTGACTGACGACGTACAGGGTACGTCGCCAGCATCGGGGCTGTTTAAACAGACTCCCGCCGACTTTTGCCGACGGGAGTCTGTTTAA